GGCACTGTTGGGGGGTGTGGAACTGGAGGACATTATCTGTGACCTTGGCACTTACGCTTGATGAGACAAATTACATGAAACCATAAACAACACAATATAGATTGGGTAAAATTGCATAGAACAGATTTAAAATGTTTTACAAGAAATTTGAAGGTCCTAGCACCCTGAGGCCAGTGGATTGCTTGAGCTCACGAGTTCGAAACTAGCCTGAGCAAAAGTGAGACCCCGTCTCTACTAAAAATAGAAAAACTGAGGCAAGAGGATCGCTTGAGCCCAAGTTGGAGGTTACTGTGAGCTATGACACCACTGTACCCAGGGAGACAACTTGAGACTCTATACAAAGGAAAAAAAAAAGAAATTTGGTGGTGCCCGTAGCTCAGTAGATAGGGTGCCGGCCACATACAGAGGCTGACAGGTTCAAACGGGCCCAGGCCAGCTAAACAACGATAGCTGCAACAACAAAAAAATAGCGGGGTGGGCACCTGTAGTCCCAACTACTTGGGAGGCTGAGGCAAGAAATTGCTTAAGCCCAAGAGTTTGAGGTTGCTGTGAGCTGTAATGCCATGGTACTTTACCCAGGGCAACATAGTGAGACTGTCTCAAAAAAACAAAGGTGACTGTAAGGCAGGGCATGGTGGCTCATGCCTGTAATCCCAATACTGGGAGGCCAAGGTGGGATTGCCTAAGCTCACAGGTTTGAGACCAGCCTGCGCCAGAGAGAGACCTCATCTCTAAAAATAGGTGGGCGTTGTGGCAGGCGCCTGTAGTCCCAGCTACTGGGGAGGCTGAGACAAGAGAATCGCTTGAGCCCAAGAGTTTGAGGTTGCTGTGAGCCGTGACACCACAGCACTCTACCAAGGGCATCAAAGTCAGACTCTGTCTCAAAATAAATGTGGCTACTGAAGTCAAGAAACCACCTTTATAAAAGAGGCAGAACTTAAGCTTGTTGAACTTACAAAATTTAGAGACAGGAGATCTTTCCTAGGAAAAGGAGGGGGGTTGTATTTTGTGTATCTAAGGCAGAGTGAGAAAAGCCTGGACTGAAGGTAGTTGAGGGTGTGTGTCATAGGTTGGGGAAAATAAGGCTGGGGTTCAGAAAAAAAGAAATCTTCAAATCCTATAGAGCCCAAATGCTCTGTGGGGAATGGAGCACCAGCTGTGCTGAGATTCTAGCCCTTCAGCCTATTCAGAGAACTGGCTCAGGGCAGGGTGGTGAGTCAGTCCTGGGCTGATGTTAACAATACTGTCCTATAAACTCCACCTAAACCTGCACTCAAGGAAAGGGATGGAATGCTTTTTCTCAGCTGAATCTAGTTCTTCCTGGTCCAGGAGCACATCTCCCCTACCAGAACCAGACACCTTCCCTCTCCCAAGACTCAGGGGGAGCATAGTGCTTTTCGAGGGAGGGCACCATGCCCTCTACAGTAGGTTGTTATTACATTGTCTCCCCTGCCCCTGTGCGGAAAAGTCTGCTAGTCTTGGGGTAGTAACTGTATGGTTTCCTCCCCCATATTCCCCACCTCAGCCCTGCCAGTTTACCCCCTGGAGGAGGAACCAGACTCTCCAGGAACACCCTGTTGTGTCTCACCATCCTTTAAGACTACTTCTAGCCACTAACCTCCGCGATGTACACCTCATGCCCCTTTCCTACTGCTTTTGCCCCCTGCAGAACTCGATTCGCCACAACCTGTCCCTGCACAGCAAGTTCATCAAGGTTCACAATGAGGCCACCGGCAAGAGTTCTTGGTGGATGCTGAATCCAGAGGGAGGCAAGAGTGGCAAGACACCCCGCCGCCGGGCTGCCTCCATGGATAGCAGCAACAAGCTGCTCCGAGGCCGCGGCAAGACCCCCAAGAAGAAACCACCTGTGTTTCCAGCTCCATCTGAAGGTGCCACTTCAACGAGCCCTGTTGGCCACTTTGCCAAGTGGTCAGGCAGCCCTTGTTCTCGAAACCGTGATGAAGCCGATGTGTGGACCACCTTCCGTCCACGAAGCAGTTCAAATGCTAGCAGTGTCAGCACCCGACTGTCCCCCATGAGGCCAGAATCAGAGGTGCTAGCAGAGGAGGAAATACCAGCCTCAGTTAGCAGCTATGCAGGAGGTGTTCCTCACACCCTAAATGAAGATCTAGAGCTGTTAGATGGGCTGAATCTCACATCTTCCCATTCCCTGCTATCTCGGAGTAGTCTCTCTGGCTTCTCTTTGCAGCATCCTGGGGTTACCGGCCCCTTACACACCTACAGCACCTCCCTCTTCAGCCCAGCAGAGGGGCCCCTGTCAGCAGGAGAAGGGTGCTTCTCAAGCTCCCAGTCTTTGGAGGCCCTGCTCACCTCTGATACGCCACCACCCCCTGCTGATGTCCTCATGACCCAGGTAGATCCCATTCTGTCCCAGGTTCCAACACTTCTGTTGCTGGGCGGGATACCTTCCTCCAGTAAGCTGGCCACAGGAGTCGGCCTATATCCTAAGCCTCTAGAGGCTCCAGGCCCCAGCAGTCTGGTCCCCACCCTTTCTATGACAGCACCACCTTCAGTCATGGCAGGTGCTCCCATCCCCAAGACCCTGGGGACTCCAGTGCTCACACTCCCTACTGAAGCTGCAAGCCAAGACAGAATGCCTCAGGATCTAGATCTTGATATGTATATGGAGAACCTGGAGTGTGACATGGATAACATCATCAGTGACCTCATGGATGGGGGCGAGGGACTGGACTTCAACTTTGAGCCAGGTACAGCACCTCTTAATCACCATTGCTTTTACAACTTATGGCCCTCCTCCTAGGTGCCCAGCTGGTCCCATGACCTGAGCAAGGGGTAGCTTTAGAACAAGGGATAGCTAGAGCTCCAGGGGAATTGGAGAAACAATGTCAGATTAGAGTGGCAGAGTTTCCAGATGAGACCTCCAGGTCCCTCAGCAATCCCACCCCTGCAAGGTAGCACAGAAGAGGGGTGTGTGTGTGTGTGTGTGTGTGTGGAGGGAGGGAGGTGTCTCTGTTTTCCTTGGTGTGAATCTTGATGGAAAGTTGGCATGCCCCAGATAAGCCTCTCACTTTGTCCTCCATTTCTTCTTCCCACAGATCCCTGAGTCATGGCTAGAAGCTTTGTCTCCTGCCTCAGAGGTGGACCCAAGCGTGTCCAGTGTCCATATCCACTTTTTACCCTTGAGCCCTCTCCAGGAAATCGGGATCCTGCTTTAGAGCAAGGGTGGGGTCTAATCATGCACGCAAGCAAGCAAGCACACAGGCACACGGGTGTTGAGAAAATTATAAAGATAAAAGCTGCCCTAGTGGGGACTATGGGGGGAGGAAAGTGGGAGGGGGAGAGGGAGAGGGTTTATTTTCACTGTGCCAATTTAGGGGGTAAGGTCCCCTCTCAGGAGCCATTCTTGGCTTTCCCCATTCCCACCCCCTAGGCTTTGTAGCAGGGGTGGGCAATGCTGTTGGAAATGTAAAGTCACCAGTGGCCTTACCCCTGCCTTTGGGAGCAGGATTTTTTGTAGAGAGTCTTATCTGAGCTGGACCTGGCTAGGTCAGCCTAGAGTTTTTATGCAGTGGCCCCCATAGGCCAGTGGTGTGGGTGGGGGTTAGAAAGGATCTGAAATGGCCAAGATCTGAGCACAGAGCTGCAGATAACAGAAAGGCTTTTTATAAACTTTTAAAGAAATATAAACACAAATATAGAGATTTTTACCAGTGGCAAGGTGCTAGTGATGGAGAGAATGCTTTTTTCTTTCTGAAGGCTTTGTCATAGTGACATGATACAAACACTACAGATAATATACTAGCTGAGACACAGGGAAATGGGGGAGGAGTGGGGAGTAACAGTGAACAAGGAAGGGAAAGACCTCTTATTTGAACCAGGTCTAGAAAAAGGTCTGTGCATAATGCTTTAGAGTTTCCCTAAGGAAAAGCTAAGCTAGATCCCCTCCTTCTGTCAACTTGTGCTTGGGGGAGTGTGGTGTTGGGGCGCAGCCACACTCTTCTATGACCCAGTATGAGTTAGTGCTACAGTGGGAGAGTGCATTGAAAGCCTGGAATTAGCTTGGGCCCTGGGAAGCAAGGGGTGATGGGGGGTGGAGAATAGAATGAGGGAAGGATTTAGAGTGGTAAAGTTAGGTATGGAGACCTCCTTGCTCAAGGTCCCTGACAGCTGTCCCTTCCCTGACTACAGGGGTTATGTGGAAGTGTGGGGGGGTGGTGCGGGGGGAGGGTGAGCGGGGCTAGGGGAGCTGAGAAGCTTGACTGAGGGTCTGGGAAATGAGCGCGGATGGGGGAATGTGGATCAGGTTTACTAGCACCTGCCAGGGAAACCATCTGGGGCTCCTCTCCCC